GGGGGGATTCCCCAGACCCCACCCCCCCAGCTCGATTTGGCCAAATTTTGCCCGGAGGCTGCCCGGCAAAATCTGGCCAAATCGAGCCGCGCCTTTCTGGAGGCCCGAAATTATTTAAACTATCGCGGCTCGATTTGGCCAAATTTTGCCGGGCAGCCTCCGGGCAAAATTTAGCCAAATCGAGCCACGCATTTCTCATCGCATACGAAGGGCAGCCCGATTTGGCCAAATTTTGCCCGGAAGCTGCCCGGCAAAATTTGGCCAAATCGAGCCGCGATAGTTTAAAAATTTCGGGCCTTCAGAAAGGCGCGGCTCGATTTGGCCAAATTTTGCCCGGAGGCTGCCCGGCAAAATCTGGCCAAATCGAGCCGCGCATTTCTCATCGCGTTCGACGAGCAGCCCGATTTGGCCAAATTTTGCCCGCAGACTGCCCGGCAAAATTTGGCCAAATCGAGCCGCGCCTTTCTGGAGGCCCGAAAATATTTAAACTATCGCGGCTCGATTTGGCCAAATTTTGCCGGGAAGTCTGCGGGCAAAATTTGGCCAAATCGGGCTGCTCGTCGTACGCGCTGAGAAATGCGCGGCTCGATTTGGCCAAATTTTGCCGGGCAGCCTCCGGGCAAAATTTGGCCAAATCGAGCCGCGCATTTCTCATGGCATACGAAGAACAGCCCGATTTGGCCAAATTTTGCCCGCAGGCTGCCCGGCAAAATTTGGCCAAATCGAGCCGCGATAGTTTAAATAATTTCGTTCAATTAGTTCATTCATTTCCAAATGGGGGGGGATTCCCCAGCCCCCACCCCCCCCCTTTGGAAATAAATGAATTAATTGAATTAATTGAATTAATTGAATTAATTGAATTAATTGAATTAATTGAATTAATTCAATTCATTCATTTATTTCCAAAGGGGGGGGTGGAATTAATTGAATTAATTGAATTAATTGAATTAATTGAATTAATTGAATTGATTCAATTAGTTCAATTAATTCAATTAATTCAATTATTTCCAAATGGGGGGATTCCCCAGCCCCCACCCCTCCCCCCCCTTTGGAAATAAATGAATTAATTGAATTAATTGAAATAATTGAATTAATTCAATTAATTCAATTAATTCCACCTCCCCTTTGGAAATAAATGAATTAATTGAATTAATTGAAATTCAATTAATTCAATTAATTCAATTAATTCAATTAATTCAATTAATTCAATTAATTCAATTAATTCCACCTCCCCTTTGGAAATAAATGAATTAATTGAATTAGTTGAATTAATTCAATTAATTCAATTAATTCAATTAATTCAATTAATTCAATTAATTCAATTAATTCAATTAATTCATTAAAGGGGGGGGTGGGGGCTGGGGAATCCCCCCCATTTGGAAATAAATGAATTACTTGAATTAATTGAAATAATTGAATTAATTCAATTAATTCAATTAATTCCACCTCCCCTTTGGAAATAAATCAATTAATTGAATTAATTGAATTAATTCAATTATTTCCAAATGGGGGGTGGAGGCTGGGGCATCCTCCTCCCCCCAATACTAAACCACGAGCCCGGGCCTCCCCCCAATACTAAAGCACGAGCCCGGGCCTCCCCCCAATACTAAATTACGAGCCCGGGCCTTCCCGCAATACTAAATCACGAGCCCGGGCCTCCCCCCAATACTAAATCACGAGCCCGGGCTAAATCACGAGCCCGCGCCTCCAAATTACGAGGCCGGGCCTCCCCCCAATACTAAATCACGAGCCCGGGCCTCCCCCCAATACTAAATCACGAGCCCGGGCCTCCCGCAATACTAAATCACGAGCCCGGGCCTCCCCCCAATACTAATTTACGAGCCCGGGCCTCCTCCCAATACTAAATCACGAGCCCTCCTCCCCCCAATACTAGGGCACAGTTTTTGCTCCAAAAAGTGACATCGCAAGCCCTGGTCCCTAAGATTTTGAGCTCATTTCTTGCCCCAAAGAGTAACATCGCAAGCCCTGGTCCCTAAGATTTTGGGCTCATTTCTTGCCCCAAAGAGTAACATCGCAAGCCCTGGTCCCTATTATTTGGGGCCCAGTTTTTGCTCCAAAGAGTCAAATCGCAAGCCCTGGTCCCTAAGATTTTGGACTCAGTTTTTTGCTCCAAAGCAAGCCCTGGTCCTTAAGATTTTGGGCTCATTTCTTGCTCCGAAGAGTCAAATCGCAAGCCCTGGTCCCGAAGATTTCGGGTTCAATTTTTGCTCCACAGAGTCAAACCGCAAGCCCTGGTCCCTAAGATTTGGGGCACAGTTTTTGCTCCAAAGGGTCAAATCGCAAGCCCTGCTCCCTAAGATTTTGGGCTCATTTCTTGCCCAAAAGAGTGACATCGCAAGCCCTGGTCCCTAAGATCTTGGGCCCAGTTGCTCCAAAGAGTCAAATCGCAAGCCCTGGTCCCTAAGATTTTGGGCCCAGTTTTTGCTCCAAAGGGTCAAATCGCAAGCCCTGGTCCCTAAGATTTTGGGTTCAATCTTTGCTCCAAAGAGTAACATCGCAAGCCCTGGTCCCTAAGATTTGGGGCCCAGTTTTTGCTCCGAAGAGTCAAATCGCAAGCCCTGGTCCCTAAGATTTTGGGTTCAATTTTTGCTCCAAAGAGTGACATCGCAAGCTCTGGTCCCTAAGATTGGGGGCCCAGTTTTTGCTCCAAAGAGTGACATCGCAAGTCCTGGTCCCTAAGATTTTGGGTTCAATTTTTGCTCCAAAGAGTGACATCGCAAGCCCTGGTCCCTAAGATTTGGGGCCCAGTTTTTGCTCCAAAGAGTAACATCGCAAGCCCTGGTCCCTAAGATTTTGGGCTCATTTTTGCTCCAAAGAGTAACATCGCAAGCCCTGGTCCCTAAGATTTGGGGCCCAGTTTTTGCTCCAAAGAGTGACATCGCAAGTCCTGGTCCCTAAGATTTTGGGTTCAATTTTTGCTCCAAAGAGTGACATCGCAAGCCCTGGTCCTTAAGATTTTGGGTTCGTTTTTTGCTCCAAAGAGTGACATCGCAAGCCCTGGTCCCTAAGATTTGGGGCCCAGTTTTTGCTCCAAAGAGTCAAATCGCAAGCCCTGGTCCCTAAGATTTTGGGTTCATTTTTTGCTCCAAAGAGTGACATCGCAAGCC